CTAATTTTTTGAGAAACGTCCATACTGTTTTCCAAAAGGGCTGAACTAGTCGGCATTCCCACCAACAGTGAAGGAGTGTCCCTTTCTCGCCACATCCATGCCAGCATCGGTTGCTTTTGTTCTTTTGAATGTGGGCCAGTCTCTGAGGTGTGAGATGGTATCTCATTGTGGTTTTGATCTGCATCTCCCTGATGATTAATGATGTAGAGCATTTTCTCATGTGCTTTTTTGCCATTCGGATTTCTTCTTTGAGAAAGTTTCTGTTCATTTCATTGCCCCATTTTTTGATGGGGTTGGATGTTTTCTTCCTGTGGAGTTCCACCAGTATTTTGTATATCCTTGTTATCAACCCCTTGTCAGATGTGTATTCGGTGAATATCCTTTCCCATTCTGTAGACTGTCTTTGTATTTTGGTCACTGTTTCTTTGGAGGTGCAGAAGCTTCTTAGTTTAAGATAGTCCCATTTATCTATCTCTGTTTTCACTTGCTCGGCCAGTGGTGTGGCATCTTTGAAAATACCATTAGCCTCAATGTCATGGAGGGTTTTGCCAACTTTGTCTTCAATGTACCTTATGGTGTCTGGTCTGATGTTGAGGTCTTTAATCCATTTTGATCTTATTTTTGTACATGGTGTTAGGCAGAGTTCTGAGCCCATTTTTTTGCATGTAGCCGTCCAGTGATGCCAGCACAATTTGTTAAAGAGGCTTTCCTTACTCCACTTCACATTTCTTGCACCTTTATCAAAGATTAGATGAGCTTATGATTGAGGGGAGATGTCAGTGTATTCAACCCTGTTCCATTGGTCTGCAGTTCTGCTTTTGTTCCAGTACCACGCTGTTTTAATTATTACTGCTTTGTAGTAGAGTTTGAAGTTAGGGAGGTTGATTCCTCCCATTTTCTTTTTCCCAAGAATTGCTTTAGCTATTCGTGGGGGCTTATTGTTCCATATAAATTTCAGGGGTGTTTGCTCCATTTCTTTGAAGAATGTCATGGGTATCCTTATAGGGATTGCGTTGAATTTATACAATGCTTTCGGTAGTATTGCCATTTTGACAATGTTAAGTATCCCGACCCATGAGCAGGGGATATCTTTCCATTTCCTCATGTCCTCTTTTATTTCCTGAAGTAGCGTTTTGTAGTTTTCTTTGTACAGGTCCTTTACTTCCTTAGTTAAGCTGATTCCTAGGTACTTGATTTTCTGGGGCACAATTGTGAACGGGATTGTTTTTTTCATGTTGCTTTCTTCTCTCTCACTGTTTGCGTATAGGAAAGCCACGTACTTTTGGGTATTGATTTTATAGCCTGCAACTTTACTATATGAGTCTATTGTTTCTAGGAGTTTTTTGGTGGAGGTTATTGGGTTCTCTAAGTAGAGTATCATATCATCTGCGAATAGTGAGAGCTTGATTTCTTCCTTTCCTACCTGAATGCCCTTAATATCTTTTTCTTGCCTAATCACTATTGCAAGTACTTCCAGTACTATATTGAACAGCAGTGGAGAGAGTGGGCATCCTTGTCTCATCCCTGATCTTAGAGGGAAGGCTCTCAGTTTTTCCCCATTGAGGATGATGCTTGCTGTAGGCTTGTGGTAGATGGCTTTAACTATGTTGAGGAAAGTCCCCTCTATACCCATTTTGGCTAGGGTTTTCATCATAAAGGGGTGCTCGACCTTGCCAAATGCTTTCTCTGCATCTATTGATATGATCATATGCTTTTTATCTTTTCTTTTGTTGATATGGTGGATTATGTTGATTGATTTCCGAATGTTGAACCATCCTTGCATCCCTGGGATGAATCCTACTTGGTCATGGTGTATGATCTTTTTGATGAGTAGTTGGATTCTATTTGCTAGTAGTTTGTTGAGGATCTTTGCATCTGTGTTCATCAGGGATATTGGCCTGTAATTCTCTTTCTTTGTGGTATCTCTGTCTGCTTTTGGTATCAGTGTGATATTCGCTTCGTAGAAACTATTCGGAAGTGTTTTTGATATTTCAATTTCGTGGAAAAGCTTAAAGAGGATTGGGAGTAAGTCTTCTTTAAAGATTTGGAAGAATTCACTAGTGAATCCATCCGGGCCAGGGCTTTTGTGCTTGGGGAGACTTTTTATTACCATTTCAATTTCCTTGATGGTGATAGGTCTGTTCAGGTATTCCAGGTCTTCTTGGTTCAGCCTTGGGAGTCTGTAGGAGTCTAGGAATTTATCCATTTCCTCGAGGTTTTGATGTTCCGTGGCATAAAGCTTCTCAAAGTACTCCCTGAGGATCCTTTGAATTTCTATAGTTTCTGTTGTGATGACCCCCTTTTCATTTCTGATTCGGTTTATTAGGGTTTTCTCTCTCCCCTTCTTTGTGAGTTTTGCTAGAGGCTTATTGATCTTGTTAATTTTCTCAAAGAACCAGCTCTTGGTTTCATTGATCTTTCGGATTGTTTTTTGGGTTTCCATCTCGTTAATCTCTGCTCTGAGTTTTATTATTTCCTTCCTCCTGTTCGGGTTGTGCTCCTTTTGTTGGTCCTTCTCCAAGCTCTTAAGCTGTGAGGTTAGTTTATTTATGTGGGCTCGCTCCTCCTTTCTGTGGAATGCTTGTAGAGCTATAAACTTTCCTCTTAAGACAGCTTTTCCTGTGTCCCATAAGTTTTGGTAACTCGTGTCCTCAGTTTCATTCGTTTCTAGGAATCTTTTGATTTCCTCTTTGATTTCCATTCTAAGCCACTCATTGTTCAATAGCGCACTGTTTAATTTCCAGGTGTTTGATTTAGTTTTCTGTTTTTGTGTGTGATTTACTTCTAATTTAAGCGCATTGTGGTCTGAGAAGATTGTTGATACAATCTCTATCTTCTTAATTTTATGGAGATATGTTTTGTTGCTCAGCATGTGGTCTATCTTGGAGAATGTTCCATGTACGCTTGAGAAGAATGTGTATTCAGCCTTTTGAGGATGAAGTGTCCTGTATATATCTAATAAGTCCCTTTCTTCCATTTTTTCCCTCAGATTAAGTATGTCCTTGCTAAGTTTGAGTCTGGTTGATCTATCCAGAGGTGACAAAGCGGTGTTGAAGTCTCCCACTAGTATTGTGTTGCTATTGATGTCTTTTTCCAAATCTATGAGTAGTTGTTTTAAGTACTTTGCTGGTCTCTCATTAGGTGCATATACATTTATTATTGTAAGTTCTTCCTGTTGTACAGATCCTTTGATCACTAAGAAATGGCCTTCACTGTCTCTTATGACCTTCTTCACTCTGAAATCAATGTGGTCTGATATTAAGGCGGCTACCCCAGCTTTTTTATGGGAGCTGTTTGCCTGTAGGATTGTTTTCCAGCCTTTGACTCTGAGTCTGTGTTTGCTTTGACTATTAAGGTGTGTTTCTTGCAGGCAGCAGAATGTTGGGTTCAATTTTCTAATTCATCCAGCCACTCTGTGTCTTTTAATTGGTGCGTTTAGCCCATTGACATTGAGAGAGATTATTGTTATGGGATTTTGTCCCATTGTTCTGTTGAAATTAGGTGTATTTGAGGGGCCTGTCCTGTCTTAAAGTAGCCCATTTAGTTGTACTTGTAACCATGGTCTTGAGTCAATGAAGTTCCTGAGCTGTTTGTCTGCGAAACTGTGTGTTGTTCCTTCTATTATGAATGAGAGTCTCGCTGGGTAAAGTATTTTTGGAGAGGCATTTATTTCATTGAGTTTTCTCACTATGTCCCACCACTGTTTTCGAAGCCCATAACTCTTAAACTACAGAATACTAAACCAAGAAAACTAAATGAAACTAAATCAAATAATCACATAATGATTTGATCAAAAGGGATCAACTTGACTGATCAGATTTTTCCCTGGAGTATTAAAAAATTTAAAATATGAAGATAAGGAGACAGTTAAGAGTAGAGATAATGAGGTCAGAGTGTTAATACAGTAGGCAGTGGGCCTGCCTTGACCACGACTGACCAAAGTTTGATTACAGCCACTCCCTGTCATCGCTGAGGGGAAGTAGAACCAAGAGGAAGCTCTGACCACCACAGGGTGTGCCTCCCCACCCACAAAAATTTTGGGGGTAACATTAGAAAGAGTGTGCTCTCTGGAAAGAAAGATGGCGGCCGCACGGGAGCCTTGTGGACAGCAGGTTTGAGCCGGGGTTGGCGGGAGCGGCAGGGACCTCATGGGAAGGGGGGCTTTGTGGGCCATCCCCCACGCCCCACCGAGGTCGCCAGCTGCCCCCCACGAGCGGCTCTCTGGCACGGCCACGACTCCAGGGCACAGAAACCAATCTCTTAACTAGCTAACTTTTAATAGAAATTCTTCCAGGGTCAATAAGTAAAATAGCAGAAATTCAAAACCGCGCGGCTGCTATCGAGCCGTGCGACATCATTTTATTCTTAAACTAAGTTGTAGAAAGCAAATCATTTCACAACGCTGTTTCAGCATGTCTGATTGTGGGGGGTGGGTCGTAAACTCTAAACAATAATTGTGCATCTTCTATCGAAACAATCTATCTCGTCAAAGTAGATAGAGTATTAACTAGAACTCATCTGCCTCACAAGAATTGGGAGGGGTGGGAGGTGGGTGTCTATTGGGGTTCGGGGTTAAAAATAAGTATTGGTAAAGGGAAATGTGTTTGATATTTACATGACTGAGACCTAAACCCGAAAGCTCTGTAACCTTTCCCACAGTGATTCAATAAATAAATAAATTATAATAAATAAATAAATAACAAAGAAACAAAAAAAAAGTTATGTAAGTCAAATGAATAAAAATTCAATTCAAAAATTCCAATAAAAAATTATGTAAGTGCACACATTAAAAAAAACAAACAAACAAACAAAAAAATTATGTAAGTACATTAGAAAGAGTGTTTTCAGGAAATATCTTGGGGTAAAAAATAGGGTAAAAATGTTTATTCAAAATGTCAGTAGTGCTAAGATAAAGAAAAGTGGGAAGGGTACTGTAAATTTTTTCTCACTGATGAATTATTATCTTGTAGTTCACATTTAACGTTCTGTCTTTTCAGAAGTGAGAAAGTTTTCCGGTGTAAGATGGAGGCCTCGGTTATATTACCGATTCTGAAGAAAAAACTAGCCTTCCTTTCAGGTATGTTTTCTTTTGAAATTGGAAGTGTTTGATAAATAAGCTTATGCATTTTGTTGTTTCACAAAGATTTTTGTTTTATATGTTTTTCTAAGACATTGTTTTAATCAAAATGCATTGTTTTTTTGAGCTGACCCTATCTCTATTGGTAATTAGCAGATGAGTTTTTATTTTGTTTTGTAATTTGATGAAAATGACATGCATAAAAGATGCTTAAATGTCTTATTTATTATATAGAAGTGCAATAATTTATATAGTTTAAAGATAGTTGACCAATCAGCATCCAAGCAATTATTTCTGCAGCACAGAATAATTAGTTTTGATGATACCCTCTGAGCTGGAGCCATAGCACAGCAGGTAGGACATTTGCCTTGGAAGCAGCCAACATAGCCAACATGGACCACCTGAGTTCGATTCCTCTGCCCATCTCGGAGAGCCCGGCAAGGTACCAAGAGTATCTCGCCTGCATGGCTAAACCTGGCAAGCTACCCGTGACGTATTCGATATGTCAAACACAGTAACAATTGTCATAATGCAGATGTTACTGGGTCCACTTGAGCAAATCGAAGAAAAAGGGGTGGACAGTGACAGATACCCTGTATTTTGGTTTTGTTCTTCCATCTTCCTTTAAGAAAGCTTTAATACACTGGAGGTGTTATGAAACGTGTTACATGATTTTCACTTTTAACCATTTAAGCATAATTATACAAGCTTGAATTTATCTTTAGTTAGCAATCCAAAATCTACATTACCTAAGCAGATTCAAAGAGAACAAATATTTTATTAGTGGTCATAGTGATTTTGTAAAATATTTGGTCATTTATGTATGCTTTGTTTTATAAAGGTACTATAATGTATGTATTTAAGGTTACTTTAACATTATTATCTTGCTTATTTCTAGTACAAATATGACAAATTGATGAGGACTCAACCTCCATGAAATGTATTTTTCACTACCTAGCTATTAGACTCTGCACAGTCTATGCACAGTCTTTGTGCAGTCTCTGAGCAGTCTCTGCCAGACTGGGCTTTCTCTTTCATCAGCAAAGCATGCTTTTCTGACTTTTTTGAGTTAACTTGGGTCATTCCTCATCCTAAAATACTCCTTCTCAGTATTTACTTATTACTTAGTTTATAAATTCTGTTTTTCTGCAGTCTTAACTTTCCTTTAAAACTTTTCACATTTATCATCGCTTATGTTATTTTTTTATGATTTCCAGTTCCCTGTGTTTTACTTTTACTATTTTATAGAGCACTTTAAAAAACAGTAATATGTCATCATGTCTTACATTAAGCATTTCTTCATAGGTTGATTGGAAATTTATTTTATTTTACTTTTTTTGCTAGGCACACAGCAGATACTGATGAGTTGTTTATATTGAGACATACTAAATTAAAAAAATTTAAATGATAATTGTGATTTTTTTGGTGAAGGAAGATTCTAAACGTGAATGTTTTACCTTTTATTTTTCTAAATTTTCTATAATTTTACTATACTACTATAAACATTTACAATATGTAAAATAAACAGTCATTAGGCAGTTTTTTTAAAAATTCATGTCTTAAACTTATGATTGTTGTAGAAACATTGGAGCCAAATATTGTTCATTTGTTGCTTTGATATCTATTGCATAGTAAATTTTCATATATTTTTCTTTAATAGGAGGAAAGGACAGACGAAGTGGCCTCATTCTGACAATTCCTTTATGCCTTGAACAGACAAATATGGATGAGCTAAGTGTCACTTTAGACTACCTACTCAGCATTCCAAGGTGACTCTAAAGGTGTCTTTTCTTCTATCTCAATGTTTTCATTCATATACTGGTGATTCTTGCTATTGTTAAAATCATATATTTTCTGCTTTTATTAGCAGAACTTAATTTTGAAAGCATTAGTTAAAACTTTATTATATCAAATAGATAAGACAAGCGCTTATTGTTTGCTCTTGATATGCTGGATAATATGATGGAGTTCCATAATGTACGTACCGTCAGCATTTAAAAAACACATATATTGAGCATCTGTATACTATGAAAACTTAAAGAAGTGAATTTAGAAGAAAGTGGCTTTTTTTAGAAAGTTTTTTCACTATAGGTTTACATACCTCCAGAGGTTGTCATATAGAGTTAAAAATAATTCTTATTTAGAATAAGTAAAGGTGCTGAAGCAATGGTGCAGTGGGTAGAGGGCTTGTCTTGCATGCAGCCAACCCAGGTTTGATCCCTAGAATTCCATATGATCCCCCAAGTCTGATAGAAATAAATCTTGGGGCCGGAGTGATAGTGCAGCGAGTAGGGCATTTGCCTTGGACGCAGCTGACCTGGGTTTGATCCCTGGCATCCCATATGGTCCCCAGCACCGCCAGGAGTAATTACTGAGTGCAGAGCCAGGAGTAATCCCTGAGCATCTCTGGCTATGACCCAAAAAGCAAAAAAAAAAAAAGAAAAAAAAAGAAATCTTGAGGACCATTAGGTGTGGCCAAAAAACAGAAAAAAAAAAAGTGAGCAAGTTATTCTTTGAATCCATTATCGGTTTTTGTATTTGGGAGAAATAATAGGTTATTTTATTTTAAACTACCTTTGTAATGCAGGTTGAAATTATTTCCAATAACATTTCCCCCCTGATTTTCCATATCAGAAAAGCTAAATATTACTTTCTAGTTCTACTAGTATTATTTCAGCTCTATAAAGAGCTGAAAACTGCATGCCTTTATCAGTAGCACCAAGAACCAAGGCTTTGATGTCAATAATGTGTATGTGCTTCAAGAGCTGTGATAGGAACACCTATTTCTTACTTAAAGAAACAAGTTAGTCACCATAAGTAAAGTAAGTAAAGGCCCTCCGTTGATCATCAATTTGCTCGAGTGGGCCCAGTAACGTCTCCATTGGAGACTTTGTTGTTACTGTGTCTGGCATATCAAATACTCTCGGTAGCTTGCTGGGCTCTCCGAGAGGGGCGGAGGAATCGAACTCGGGTTGGCCATGTTGGCTGCGTGCAAGGCAGACGCCCTACCCGCTGTGCTATCGCTCCAGTCACCATAAGTTACAGATTTTCATGATTGGGTTTCAGGAATAGTGTTTCAACACCCATCCCTTAATTAGTGTCCACTTCTGTCTACCAATGCTCCTCCCAATTCCCATTTGTCTCCCACCTATCAGTCTTTGTATTTTACATACATATATATGTATATGTATACGTATATGTGTATATATGGTATGGTATGTGTGTGGCATGTTTCCCACTGAATATCATTTCTAATGTTTTTTGTTTCCATTGTCTTTGGGTATTTGTTGATGAATACCTATTTCTAATATTGTTCTGTCATTTTTTGGTTCCACTACTCAGTTTTTTAAATTTTTATTTTTTAAGTGTTAGTGAAATATGTCTTTAATTTTTCAAATTTTTTACTTCTCTGGAAAGGACATTTAGGAGACTGCACGGTTTGGTATACTAGTTTTGAATAGCCTTGTTAGTTCTTTGATCAACTGATAGCTAATAGGTGTTACTGATCATTTTGAGAAAGCCTGAAAAATTATTCATGGTTGTATAGATGTCAAGTGTGTCAGGAGTCACTCTAGACAAGAACTGAGTGCTGAAAGGTGATTAATGGATATACAGGATAACCTTTCATTATCTGTATTGCAAGCCATAATCTGCAAAGGAAGAGAGAGAGAGAGAGAGAGAGAGAGAGAGAGAGAGAGAGAGAGAGAGAGAGAGAGAGAGAAAGTGTCTCCCATAGGAGGTATGTGTGTGTATGTGTGTGTGTGAGGTGATAGGGACATTGGTGGTGGTAAATGTACACTGATGAAGAGATGGGTGTTGGAACATTATATGAGTGAAACACAATCATGAACAACTTTGTAGCTGTATCTCACAGTGATTCAATTTTAAAAATAAATTTTAAGAAAAACAAAGAAGCTAAAAATAGAAGTGTCAGGGAACCTGGAGACAATCTGAACCAAATTACCTTATTTTATAATTGAGACTCAGGGTTATTTACTCATGATATATGATTAGTTAGGTGTTGAACTAGGACTGGAATCTATAATTTCTGATATAATCAAGAACTTTTCATGTACTGGAGTACAGCGTCCTTGCCTCTTAGGTAAAAAGAGGTTCTGGAGTTGGAATATAAAAGGGAGTTACTGGTAGAATCCCCTTAAAACTGTCTAAGGAAGGATTAAAGATTCACACAAATTTTCCATGAAAATGATGTCTTCTTCTAACATTGAAATATGTCATTGAGGCTAAGCTTCAGAAGACACAGTTGGCTTGTGCTAGGTTAAAAGAGAATGTTTGGGCCAGAGAGTGCAGTGGTCAAGGTGTTTGCATGTGCCTGACTCCAGTTTGATTCCTGGTACCACATGTAGTCTCCAAACCCCACTAGGTGTTGGCTCTGAGTACAGAGCTATGAGTAAGCCCTGAGCATGCTGGTTATGACCCCCAAAACAAAATTTAAAAGAGAGAGAGACCCTGCATGCTTGTGTATGCTAGCGGCTCATAGGAATGCTCTCATCGTAAGAGTATGGGGGACGAGCATGTTCACTCATGTCTTGTCTCTACATCTGGGTATGCAACAGGAAGCATGGAGGGTAGAATGGAGGGCAGAATTGCCTGCACTATTAGAATTCTCTTTCTTAGCCTCCCTTCCCTCTCCCTTGCATTTTCTTTCCTCCTCTTCCTCTTCCTGTTCTCTTTTGCCCTTACTTCCTGTGTCTTCCTCCTTACCCTCTATCTGTCTCACTTCCTCTTTCTTTTCTTCCCTCCCTCCCACCCCTCTCTCTGGAGGGGAGGTGTTTTTTGGCCATATCTAGTGTAGTACAGGGGCTGTTTTTGGCTTTGTGCTCAGGAAACCGTTTGTGATGTCTGTGATATCAAACTGGAGTGTACCACAGGGAAAACCACCTTACAATGCTTTTTCTGCCACCAATCTCTTTCCTTCCTCTTATTTTTCTCTTAACCCTCTTTTTTCTCTCTCTTTTCCCCTCACTCTTATACGAAGAAATCTTCAGTGTTACTAAAAGTGAGTGATTGGTACCCACTCCCTTGGGGAATCCTGGTGACAGCCTTGGAATAATGGGAAGGAGGGACCCTTTCTGCTTGTTTGCTTAAATAAGGTAGAGTTGGTAGAGTTGGGGGAGGGGGAAAGGGGTACTGAATAGTTTTATTTTCCCTAAAAAGGCAGTAGTAGGCCAGATAAATTTGGGGACCTCAGTTACAATAGTGTAAATTATGAATCATTTTCTGTTTATCTACACGTTGCCAACTGGGAGAGAAGCTTTCAGTTGAAGCAAGATGAAAGAGCTTTTTCTAACAAGGCAAAATAGATAACTGGACGCTTCCTTTTTTGATCATTGTTTTGCTGACTCTGGAATGTCTCAAATATTTGTGAAAATGGAATTCGTTAGCCTCCTTTCTTAGCTTTCTCAGATCAGCCTCCTTGACTTTGACATTTAAAATGTAGGTGTCAGGTCTGTCAGTACCTGCCATTTCATTAGAGAACTGCAGTGTTTTTCAGCTCTTCATTACAGGAGAGCAGTTTACTTTCTGCAGTCTGAAGAATGGATTTGTCCTCTTCAGATTGATCTCTATTCAAAACTGCCTTTACCCGGAACTGCCCTTCAGCATTTCACTATGAAAAATTTGAAAGCTATAAAAAGGATAAAAGAGCTGGAAACAGTTCTCAGTGTCCCATCACTGAGAAGTCTACAACTAACATTGCATTTGATCACATCTCTTCATTTATCTACTTCCTCTTTACACCCAAGAATGTTTTTTTAGTTTTGTTTTTCTTCTTTCTTTCTTTCTTTCTTTCTTTCTTTCTTTCCTTCCTTCCTTCCTTCCTTCCTTCCTTCCTTCCTTCTTTCTTTCTTTTTTTTTTGCGGGTTGTGGGGTGAACACACCTGATGATGTTTTGGCGAAGGTCACTCCCTGTGGTGTCAGGAATTGGACTATAGTCTTCCACAGGCCCACAAGCATCCTAACCCCTGTATACTATCTTTCCAGCCCCACCCAGAACTGTGTTTAAGTTTACACTATTGTATTGGACTCACTATAGGTATGTATGGTGCTGGGGGACCATATGTGATACTGGGGAATGAATTAAGGTTAGCCGCATGCAAAGCAAGTGCTTTAATCCCCATACTATCTTTCTGACCCCTGGATATATATTCACTTTAAACAAGTAATGTAATAAAGTTGAAAATGGAAACATTTTCTGACGATTTTTTTTTTCAGTTTTTGGACCATTCATCCCCTATAATGCTCAGGGGACCATGTGGTGCCAAACTTTGAACCTAAACTTACGGGTTCCACATGTAGCACATGCATTGTGTCCCTAGCCTAATGACTCTTTTTCTCACAGATTGACCCTAGGCTTAATGTAGGTTTCACATTGGTTCTTTAAGATGGGGTGAAGAAAGAGAGTCACGTTAGCTGTGTCTGGTCACTGAGTTTGTTTAGGAACTCCCAATGTCCAGTCAGTTTTCTCTGTAGTTCAATACTAACCATTATTGCTAATGTTTTTAAAGTTTTTTTGCTTGTTTATTTAATTTAGTCACCATGAAATTACAAATTTAGGCACGCCATGTTTCACCACCAATCCCTTCACCAGTGGGCTCCTCCCCATCCCTATCCATTTGCTTCCCGTCCTGCTTTTATGAGAGGCAAATTATTTTTGTTTTTCAATACATTTTTGCATATGGTTTGCAGTACTGTTGCTGATAGGCTTTCAAACGGTAACACTTGACTGTCTTTCAGCACCGCCTCTTCC